CAGAGTTACTATCGACCGTAAAACACAAGTTATTTTCCTTTTTAATAGGGATTTAACTTAATAGAAATATATTAACTTATTCTAAGTAATAAAACTCCGAGTTACTATTGACCATAATAAAAACAAGTTATTTTCCTTTTTAATAGGGATTTAATAGAAATACATTAATGTGTGTAAATTAATTAAATAATTAAATCATCACATAATTTATTCAAATAGATTAAATCATTGTATTAAGTTAACGATGCCATAAAGCTGAATCATGAAACAGCTCATTTACTCTAATATGAATTTAATTAATATAAATTAATAACGTTGAACTGAATTGACGTCTATGAATTATACACATGACCATGTTGTCAAAAATGCATTTCTTAATGCAAAAAAAAAAAAAAAAAGAAAAAATTAGGAATAGAAGCCCAGGTCTACGGCCTTACTCTTTGCCGAATTTTTAGTTATACTGCGTACAGCTGTAGGTCCACATGTCCCTCTTTACTACGGGGCCTTGTTTCCAGCACCGACGGCTGCTAGGCTACCATGAAGGACAGTGGAGGGCAATGGTTTCCACACGCGAAGGGTTCTGGCCACCGACCGAACTGGCCAGCCTCAGTTCTGCTGCCACTTGGGTCCAGACAATTCTCTGGTGTGGGAGGAGCCAGGGAGGCTGTCCATGCACTGTAGAATAGCCCTGGTCTCTCCCCGCACCAATGCCAACATGTCACACACATACACACTCCAGCTGTGACAATCGAATTAGTCTCTAGACTTGGCCAAGTGTCCCCTGGCAGGAAAAATGGGAACCCTCAGTGGATAACTACCGTCCTAAATCGAGAAAGAGATATTTTGGGAACTACCCGTGTTTATAAAGAAAAACCGAAAGGAAACAGTATGAAAAACAACATATTTGGATGAATGTCCGATTTGAGTCCCATTCACGAGGCTTTCAAAGCGTTACTTGGGAAGAGAGTGCACGGCTGGTGGCTGACCTCACGTCCCCGGCTGACTTGGGTTCGAGAGGAAAGAACGACCCACTTTTTCGGGAGAATGCAGCTTTCCCGATGACCGGAAGTGTCTGTGGGGATCCACGTGTGAGTTCTGGGTGTGAGAGAAAGCGGCTGAAGACAGAGGTCGCTCGAAAGAAAAAAACGTGGAATAAATCTTAACCGCGGGTTGGAAGGCAGCGGGAAAAGCTGCATCGTGTTATCCGACGACGCTTCATTCGGGTCTCTGCATCGGCTGGAGACCACAAAAAGCAGTTCTACCGAATTATCCACAGAGAATTCACGTCTGCAAATCAACAAGCCAGGGTTCCTAGGGCGCCCGGGAAGCTTTATCGTTTTCGATAAAATAGATTAGCAACACCTCGCTCACTGTACACCCCCCACACTGCACCCCAGACTGGCTGAGCAGGTGCCACCTTAGCATGAAAACCCCCCAACTGGTTTGGCCTTGAACATGGCAGGCCGCGTGGGTGACACGCGTCAGGCCCTGCGCCATCCTTATCATGACGTCTAGTTCTCTCCACCTCTCTCAGAGTCATGGCACCTTCGAATTAAAACCAGCTAGGTCAGCTGTGCCCTTCTTGGATTGTACGAATAAAAAGGAATCGGCGAGAACTGGGCACCCATCGCAGTTACTGACACCCCAAAAAGAACAGGAGTCGGAGACTAACGAGGAAGCAGAGGACAAGCCGTCAGAATGAGCAACGCACACACACACACACAGGGCCAGGAGAACGCAGCCCCAGAGCAAAGTCTGTACCTGGGGCTCTCGGTCACTTCCGGGCTGTGAATAAGAACGAGAGGTGGGAAGAGAAGCAGGCGGGAGAGGGAACACACCTGAGTCTTAGGGTGCTCTCACGGGTCTGTCCGCTGCACTACAACGCGGCCGGGGATGGACACACTGCCCACTGCACAGAAGAGAGACCGAGGCTCAGTGGATCGGATCCACCGCCCGGAACTTCTCGAGGGCGCAAGGGATGGATGCGGGGAGCTGTCAGCTCCGTCGGACGCCCCTCCTCTCCTTCCTCCGCCCTCACGTTGGTGGCGACAGTGATCAAAATAAGGGGCGCGTGAGCGTTCAGTGCTCGGAGGAGCTGACGGTCCCACGAAGACTGGAGTTCCTCGGGACGACGTGCACGGACGCGTGGCCTCTGGGCACGGAGCCAGGTGCTTCTCTGCAGCCATAAGGTGGTGTGGACCCAATGGTCCACTGATTCAGACTTCGAGTGCCCTGAGCGCTGACAGCTACGGCTTCCTGAGGTCCCAGGCGCAGGGGGGACTGGAAGCTGCCTCCGTAACTGGACTCTCTTTCTCCCCATCATCCCCAGTGGACTCCGAGACGAGGCAGCTCCACGAGAAAGTCAGGGCTGCCCCCTCCGTGGTGACAGCCTGTGCGCTCGGTGCTCCTGTGTGGCAGGGGACTCATTTTCTGTCCGCTCAGCCAGAACTCTGTCCTGAGCAGGGTCTGGACGCAGAGAAGGCCACCACGGCCTCTGCTCCTCTGGGAACGGGGTCCTGGTGGGGCTTGAGCCAGTGCCAGGACACAGAGCGCACAGGTGGGAGCTCCCCAGGTGACCTAGGAAGGCGTCGCCTCTCAGGACCATGGCTTCCTTGTCCGGACTATGCCGGCAGCAACCTCAGTGGGCTGCGTGAGGAATGAATAAATACACGAGGGCTCCGAACAGCGTCTGGTTCACCCTGAAACCTGTGCACGCATGTCCACAGCGGCTCTACCCGTCACAGCCCCGAACCAGAAAGATCCTCAACGCCCGCCGACAAGTGAATGGATAAACACCTCTGGCACGTGCAGACCGTGCTCCACGGCTCGGCGTGCAGAAGGCACGAGCTGCCGGTCCGCACGGCCTCCAAAGGCGGCACGTGTCACGGTGCCACTTACGAAACCCTGTCGAAATGGCAGCGTGAGCGCGCGTGAGAGCTCGCGGCTGCAGCTGGACGGGGCGACCACAGAGCACGGGAGCCCAGCTGTGGTCACGGGCGGTTCTGGATGACGGTAGCAGTGGACGAATGCATGCATACGTGTGACATTTCACACGCTGTTCACACGTGCGCACACGCACGCACAGAACGGGGGAGACTGGATGCGGTCTGCGTGTGTGTCCACAGCGGCCACCTCGCTTCCCTACTTTGGAGAATGAGGTCACTTCACGTAAGATGCTGTCACTGGGGGAAGGCGGGCAGGGAGCTCTGGAACTCACTGGACTATTTTTTGCAACGTCTTGCGAGTCTCGAATTGTTTCAAAATAGAAGGCTTCAAAAATAACAGTGTCTGAGAGATGAACCGATGAACGAACGGGGTCTGCTCGTCCCATGCGAAGTGTTTGCCACAAAGCGAGGAAATGCTGTGCCACGCACTACGATGCGGACGGACCCTGAAAACGTCACGCTGGGTGACAAGGAACAAGCCCGTGACGAGGACCACGTCACGCTTACGAGGCCGTCGATGCGGCACGCCCGGAACGGGCGGACCCGTGGAAACGGGCCGTACACTGGGGGTCGTCGGGGGCCAGGAACGGGAACAGACTGCTAATGCGTACGGCATCCCTCTGGGGTTGCTGAAATGCGTTAACATGGACGGGTGACAGTCGCACACCTGTCTGAACGTAATAAAAACTACCGAACTGCCCACTTCGCATGGCTGAACCGTTACGACGTGAGTTCCATCCCAATAAAAGCTGTCGCCAAAACATGACAACGTCCAGCACTCGCTAACTGCCAGGTAAACGTTTTGCCATGATTTACTATTTATTCTCTCCTCCCCTGTGGGACTTGGTTATTCTAAGATTCCATGCGCACGATGCCCCTGTTTCCGGCAGGGCTGTCTCCCTCAGGGGCGTCCAGGCACACAGGGATGGCAGCTCTCACTCTGAGAGAGTCGAAGTTTCCTGTGGGTATTGTGCACACAAGGTCAAGTTCAAAGTCCTTGTCTTGCAAGGTCAAGTTCAAAGTCCTTGCCTTTCTCACAGGCCTGCGCTCCATCCGACTGGCTTATCAACTTGAAAAACAAAATAAAAGCTTTCTGGTTTCTGGTTCCTCACCTCGGCCCACAGAGTCCCCGTCTAGGACACATTTCTTCATCAGGCAGCAGAGTCCCAGCCACTAGCAAAGCTACGTCAGGCCTCCCTCCCACGAGGGGGGGTCCGGCCTTGCTCGGCGGCTCCGGCACACGCTGAGACCCTTCCTCGGAGGTCCCACAGCAGAGGGACAGCCGTGCACACCACGGCTTTGTGCCGGGCCCCCTTCTGTGCCCCCATAATGCCTCCCCCCCGCCAACCAAGACCTAGCTCGCACGGCGCTGCAGAAGCAACAGCTTCAAAAATGGTCACAGAAACGTATCTGTTTTTCATACAGAAGTCTAAAAAGGACACTCCCGATTTGGATGAAAATGGCCCTCAACCGTCAACCGGCCTTGTTCTCAGGGAGTCTGTATGTACCCCAACAACAGCCCATGCAGGGCTCAGACGGGAGGAAAATGCCTCCCCAGGGGCCCACGTCACGGGCCCTGCAGCCTCAGGAGGCTGCCGGACAAGGCCTTTGCGGAAAACCCTGGCTGGGCCACCGGTCACGACGCAGCTGCCTGTCACTTCCCAAACACGTTCCGAGACAAACACACGAGCCCGAGGGCCCGCCGAACACCTCTGTGCACGACGAACGACTGACCTCGAACGCATGTGGGGAAAAAACAGCAGAAACTGGGCTTCTTCAAAAAGCCTCGTGCAATAATCCTGTCCACACCGCTTTCCTCGAATGCATGACCTCCAGAAGCTACACGCAAACCGAGTTCGCTGTGACGTGCCGATGCACGCGGACAGCACGTTAGCTAGCAAACCCGGCCCTGACAAGCAGCCTTGAGAAATCACCGTTTCCAGAACATACCGCCGCCGGTGCAGCTGCGTGTAATCTTTAAACACGGGAAGAATACGGAGAGGCGGACAGGACAGTCACTCCGTAGTACGAAATCCATGTTACGATGTCACTTACTCAGAGCCAAGCGTGGGGCGAATGCCTTCCTCCTTCTGGGGTCTTCGTGCGAGCCCGTTTTCTGTCTTCAGTTACCTGTTAATGAAAAAGACCCCACGGGAGTCAGCAATGGCAATCACGAAATCCTCAAGCACCCACTCTTGACCGCCGCACAGCAGACAGACGCCTGAATTACGGGCATCAGGAAATCGGAATAACCCCCATGCCAAGTGGCCAACGACCACTGCTGGGGACCCTTCCCGCACACAAGAGACGACGCCACGCCTCACGCACACGACCGCCCGCCACGTTCATGATCTGAGGACCTATGACGAGCACATCAGCTCAAAATCTGGGACATCGTCTCCACGGTCACGACAGACACGGTGCGCTGCACCGTCCCGCAGCACGTGACGTGAAGACGCAGGTGTCTCCAGAGCCCGCGCAGCTCAGCAAATTCTCACCCCCGACAACTCCTCACTCCATCTCGTGGGACAAGGCGACAGGGCTCGCGGCCGCTACGGTATTGGGGGCCCGGAAGGTCTCCATCCTGGCAGTGACGTGGCGCAAGGTGACATGGGACAGTGGGGACACTGATCGAGTAAGCACGTGCACGAGCTCCATCAGCAGGGGATCGAATGAAAGGCAAGCTACGCAGCGGGACAGGAAGTCACCACGGGGCACGGAGCTTGCTGTGGGGACGGGGGCGGGGCTCTGGGAGGTGGCACAGGGGCCAGGCTGTGGACACAGTGACCGTGGTGCGAGGGCGGACGGCTAGCGGGCTGGGCGGCAGCAGGGAGCGACGGCAGGACCACGGCAGGCTTCGCAGCCTGGGGACAGGGGACAAACCGGCGGGAAACACCATGGGACGACTTCCGGCTTCCGGCTGCAGCAGTAATTTACAAGGCAGCGCCGTTTCCTGGGACGGAGAAAGGCTGAAGCCCTTTCTTTACATCTTGACTGGGAAGAGCCCGTCCGATCTCCAAGAGTTGGGGAAGCAGGTCATGAAACGCAGCCGTCTGAGCCAGTGGGACAGGTCGCGGCTCCAGGGACCCGCCCTGCCGCTGCGACCTTTAAAGCTTCGGGCGCTTCTAAAGCGGGTTCTTCTCACTGACGGCGGCGCGGCCATTGTGGACGAGGCGGCCTCCGGCGCCGTGCGTGCTGAGCGGCGTCGCTGGGCTCGACCCACGAGAAAATGGTGGCGACCCACTGCCCCCTCCTCCCGAGCTGTGACCACCGAACCGCACGCCCAGACGCTGCCAAGTGTCAGCAGGTGGGAATGCACAACAGGCTTGTAAGGACAAATGTCTCCCAAAAGTCAGCGAGGGACTAGCAAATAACAGCTGCTGAGAGACGGATGACGGGGAGGTCAGCGGATGACAGGACGCCAAGGAACCGCACTGCGTCCTCTGCATGCGCACACTGTCTGGAGGAAATCTAGGGGGACTTCACAGAGGAGGCGAGGCTCCTGCCGACTCAGATAGTCAAGAGAGCAGGAAGAGAAAGGGGCTGCAGACAAGACACGGGGGCATGGAGCGGACGCAGAGGTGTGTAGACACGTCGGGTGATGCTCTCGTGCTGCTCAGCAAAGGGCTGGTGACACCGCAGAGCCGGAAGGCTGGGCAGTGCAACGAACAGCGCTGCCTGACCAGCACGGGGAAGACGGGGCCGTCTGGGCCACACACCCACGCAGGAGCAGGGCCCCCTGGCTCGGCCTGCTGAATCATGGACAACCATGGACGGGCGTGGGGGCTCACCACAGGGGAGGGGACAGCCAGTCAGGATGCAGGGACTCGGGGAAGAAGGAATCCAGCCTGACCAGTATGGACCGACCTCAGTGCGTGGCCCCCTCAGGTAAGAACACCTGCCGGGCGGCAGTGCTGGCTCAGACACCAGCCTGCTGGTGGGGGGGTGACCCAAGACTCTCCTTTCCGACCTGCACCTCAAGCATCCTGCTCCCAACCCCCTCCCTGCCCCCCAGAGTGAAAACATAACAGACCCTACTCTTCCTGGCTCTGTTTTCATTAGAGAAAGATCACGAGGGCTCCTACCCCCCGCCAACACCACTCAGAATGCTTAACTGCGTGAAAACGCTGACGAACTCGCCAGGTGCCTGACCTACTTTATGGGCCATTCTGTCTGCATCCACAGCGTTACTGTGCACACAGGCTGCATGCCGACACTACTCAGAACGCTTAACTGCGTGAAAACGCTGACGAACTCGCCAGGTGCCTGACCTACTTTATGGGCCATTCTGTCTGCATCCACAGCGTTACTGTGCACACAGGCTGCATTAAAAAAAAAAAAAGTAAAAAAAAAAAAAACCGGACCAGAGTTACAGGCCTCACTTTGTTCCTAATGAAGAAACTCTCCCTCTCTCTCTGGACCAGAAGGTTCCTCGGCTGTGAAACGAGGGCATTAAATTATTTATGACGTTTCATCCGCATCGAAAAAACCCGAGGAACCATTTTCCTGTTGACTTCCCTTCGCAGATTCTAAGGGCAAACACTAGCAAAGCAACGAAGCAAGAATTTGCAGAAGGATTGGGAGGGAGGGAGGGAGAGAGGAAGGACGGACGTCTGTGTCCGTCTGTCCTGCAGCCAGCCGAGTGCGCGAACCCACGCAAAGGGCGTAGCAGGCTCCCAAAGTTGCCGCCAAGATGAACATTTCGAGTCCGGACACATTCGCGTTGTGCCATCATGAAAATGTGACGCTTTCGTCCGCTGCCTCACCCAGACGGAGCAGCGGCTTCAGATGCAGAGATGACGCCTTCAAGAACACATTTCAAATCCTTTAAATCAGCGGCCCTCACGTGGGCCAGATTTTGCCCCCTGGGGATCCTGGCCGATGTCTGAAGACGTTTTTAGTTGGCGGGACCGGAGGAAGAGAAATTTGCTGGCACCTAGTGAGTGAGGCTGGGATGCCACTAAATACCCACACAGGTCAGCCCGACCCGGCCGAGGATTATGCACCCGAACATCAGCGCGGCCAAGCCGGACCCCACTAAAATGTCTATATCTTTCCAGGACGTAGATTCTATCTACTTTCATCTTGCAAAGCATTTTCACTCTTTTTAAAGTCAAACATGTCTATATAGTTTCAATAAGTAAAATACAGGTCAGGCAAAACACTCCTCGTTTAATTAAACGCTTTTCAGGACGGCCTCTCCCGAGAGCTCTGTTTCCCAAAGCGACCACCTTCGAATCTCAAGAACCGCGTGTATTTACGGCCGTGTCCGCTGGTGTTGACGGCCGCGTTTCTCAATAACCTGCTTCCTATCGACTTGAGTTATGACTTCATTACCGCGCGTACCGATGAGGATTCGGGGTTTTTTTTAAATGCCCACCGCCAATCCTGTGTTTACGCCCGACGTGTGCCCCACGGCTGAATGTTCTGGGGTTAAAAACACATATTCTTTCCACGATGGGACGGGCTCAGCTCAGTTGAGTACGGAGACCTTTCCTGAGGCTACTGGCTGCCTCTGTTTTTACTCCTTAATTTCCTCCGATTCTTTGAGAATCCTTCCGACATCCTCTGCCATCTTTCCATGCTTCACGTGGTCAAAACTCTCAGAGAATGTGTCAGAATGTGTCGCCACTGGTCCCCCGCCCTGCAAACTCTGCTCCCCAGGCCTCCCTTCTGAAGCTCCCAGCCTTTCGGTGTCAGCGTCGGGCGTGCCGAGCCCGGAAACCACAGTGACCTTGGGACAATCCCTTCCGCCTCCGTCAGTGCCTGGGATCCCCACTCTCCCCCTTCCTTGGTTTACACTCTTTTGGGGGGACACGCTCTCCAGGAGCTTCCCGAGCTGTGACGTACGAAAAGCTAAATTATACTGATATCCCGAATATATATAAACAACCGCATTCCATCCGTAACTAACCAGTGCGGGAATGACCGCGAAATCCTGAGTGAAAATGATCTCCACAGACTTCTGTGCTCAGTCTGTCGTGCGACCTCCACCGTTGCTAAGAAATCGGACGTTATTTCTGATTCCAGGTCATTTTTATGACTTTTGGTTTTTAATCCAGAGGAGTCCGTAGAGACCGCCTTCGTCCCTAATACTCTGAAATGACACAACAGTGACGTTCACGCGGTAATTTTTTTCGACGTGCTTAAGGCTTTTATTCACCGATCTAGTCGCCTACTGTGAAATTACTCTCTTCTTCAGATTTTAGACTGTTTTTTTTTTCTTGTTTGCCTGGAATATCTATTAGGCAAAAGTCTGGGTAGCCACTTCTCATCTGATATAAAACTTTCCTACCCGCACTGGCCAATGAGGCAGCAGCGGCCACATGCGGCGGCCGAGCAGCCGAAACGTGGCTAAGACACTCAAGGCTTTCGCGTCTACGTTTTTATTTTATTCCAAATTGATTTAAGTTTAAACAGTCGTGTGGGGCCAGGGGCTGCCACACGAAGCGGCACAAATCTAACGATTATGACAAAGGGGAGCCGGAAAGAGACGACGATGACAACAAAAGTAGTGGCTTCTGTGTCGACTCTGAGGTAACAGTACACACGGGTTCAGGAGAAAAACAGACTTCAACTTCTCTATCTCGCCACGAGTCGTTTCGGTATCAGGTTCTCCGCTGTGATCCCTTACCGCCTCCCTCCCTGTAGGAACTGGGGGACTTTTTGAGTCGTGTCGCACACGCAGAAACATCCATTCGCACCTAGGCTTGGGGTTGAGCACACCTAGTGTAGAAACGGGGCCACTGGGCTCCCTCTCTCCCTTCTCCTGAGGCGGCTCACAAAACAGACACCTGAACTGTAACACTCACTTCGCTCACAGCACGAACAGAAGGAAGCATGAAACGTGACAGAACCGAGGGACAGACCGCGGCCTAGCTCCCGACACCCCGAAGACTGCGTTCGGAGAGCCTCACCATCGCCGGCTTCTTTCCACCTGCTTTGCTAAGAAGCACCCCTTCTGCAGAGTGGGTGCTCCAGCCGGCAGGCCCCAGGAAGGCATGCCATGCGTTCTCTGTGTATCGGCTCGTTGGTTGCTTCGTTCGTTCATTCATTCATTCGTTCATTCATTCATTCAACAAGTACCACAAACATAATCCATTGTTGTCCAGACACGCTATAAACAAGGA